AGGTTGGCATTGGGCATCGACCACCAGACAACTCAGTGTGAGAAGATCACCAACATCGAGATCATCGGCAGGGCAGGCATCGTGACACTCCCACAACGACTACGGCAAGCAAGGCTACGAGAGATTCTGCGGCTCACCACCGCGTGCCCGACGACACTAAGAGCCCTGCTTGATTACGACATCACAAACAACGGCTGATGCTCCACTTCGATTGCAGACGATCTCCACCACATCAATACATACATTAGCAAGCACCATACCACGCCCAATCACGACGTCATACGCAAGTGAATAGGCATGGCAAAAGACGAACCCTCCAAATTCAAGAGTACAGCCACACACGCCTACAAGACAGCTATCGAGCACAACAAAGAGAAAGCAGCCACAGCTGCCTGGAGACGACGCATGAAACACATCTGCAACGACGCTACTATTCCGACGCCTGGCAGCGAAGCTCCACAACACGACATCAGGTACCTCTGCTACGAATGCGGGCAAATCCTTCACGGCAAATCAGCGCATCAAAAGCACATGCACGCGAAGCACAGCCGGCAGGTAAATATCAACTACATCCACGGGTCTACATGCCAGGTCTGTATGAGGGATTACTGGACGGTCAGCCGATTGTTCAAGCACATGTGCGCCAGCCGACAGTCTGGCACACTCACCATGCACTTCAGCAAACGGCTCGACGACGACGCAGCAGACGACATATCCGAAGAGATATGGGGCATACGGCGGACCAACAAGAGCAAAGGACTACCCGAAGACTGCGCAGAACGCCGTTGCGTCCAACTCCACGGACCTCCACTCGCACTACGAACAGGCGCGGACCACGAACCCACGATGATTCCTGCACCAGTTCCTCTGTCACCGCAAGCAGGTGAAGAGCTAGACGAGCGACGAGGACAGACGGAAGGCGCCCAGGAACGCGAGCGTCGCCTGTGCCACACGCGGCTCGAAACAATCAACGGTGAAACATCGGAGGCATGCGACGACAGGCCATATTGGACGTCCACAATCCTGCTCATCACCGACCAGAGTGCCACCAGTGACGACACTATGCGCATTGTCAACGGCATTAAGCAGCAAGCAAGCCTACAACACCGACGAGTACGACTTCTTACCGTAGCGAACCACACGAGTCAGGCGTACAACGGCTGGAATCCCGACCACACCAACATTGCCATCCACGACGCCTCGCGGAACGGTACAATTGACGCCATCTACTACAGGAAGTCCATATGGAGCCTCGACAACAGCAAACGGCTGCGCGATGAGCAACACCCGTGGGGTAGAATACACTCCAGCTGACACGACTCAACAACCATCGTGGATGACAACGCGACGATACGTGACGCCATCTTCCCCATGTACACGTGCATCGCCAACGACACAGCTTGCTTGATGAACATCGGACCGATCACGGCAACCGCCCCGCACGAACTACAACAACTGAAGAGCCACAACCTTGTCACCATGACCGGCCCCTGTATCGCACGCAAGCACTTTTAGAACACCAGCGACGGCGACGGCGACACTACACGAATCCTGGCGGCAGCACGCGGAAGCAGCCACAACGACGAACAACAGACAAGCGGCCTCATCGAATACGTGACCGACTACGACCGCTACTTCGGAACATGCCCGTAACATGGGCGCGTGGCCACCGAGGGAGAAAACACCTTCGAGGGGCTCGGCGGCATCGAGCTCGCAGAGCCCTACACCATCACGAAGCCCCCCCCTTGGCGGTGAGCGAGCCTACCCCTCGGCAGTAGGGCTGGGGGGTGGCGGCCGCCGCTGAGGGGGGAAGAGGAGACGGACCCCCATATGACAAGGGGCCCGTCGGGCGCGCGCCCGAGGCCCCCAGAGGCCCTCGTCTCTCTCCCTCCTCTTCCAGAGCCCTGGAGGCGTCCTCCTCTCTGGCTTCCCGGAGGCTCTTCGGAGGTCTTCGGAAGCAGTTCGGGCCGCGCGTCGCGCCGTGCCGGCCGCGCGCGGCGCGGCGCGGGCTGAGGCGGAGAACCTCCCTTGCGCCCGCACTGCGAGGGAGAGGCGGAGGTTGCGCCTGAATGTGTTGCGCTTTCGGGGTGCCTTCGCTGTCCTGTGAAGGGGCAGTCTCTTAGTGCACTCCGACGTGGGTTCGACGCGGGTTCGGCGTGAACTCGGCACGGATTCGACGCGGAGTCGATGCGGAGTCGACGCCTTCGACATGGATCCTATATGGATGCGACACAGACGGTTGGTGCGATGTGACAAACGAGGTACCCCAAAGATGCAACATGGGTCGAGAGTTGGATGGAGGCAAAAGTCGTCGCGGCAGATTTGTTGGCAGGCGGCGCGGACGAGGACCAGGTATTCAGAAGCCAGAAGGATCGGGGGGGGGCGAGGATCGAGATCCTCAAGGGAGGAACATCGCCCGGGCCCGTAACCTGGCGTGTGCTAAACGGCCCCGGGCGTTGACCGGGCAGCCCTGCCCTGGTCGATTCCTTCTGTGGGTGCGAGTACTGAACGGCTTCGTGTGTCGGGGTGATTCTGATGAGTCGCCGCGCAGGTTCGCGAGTACTGACGGCTTCGCGTGTCGGGGCGCGTTCCACTCTTCGCAAGGTGCCTACTCGCGAACGTCCGACAAAAAACACACGTGCCCGCTCTGGTGTGCTTCATCGTGGATCCTCCGCGGCGGAGCCAGGCCATCTGCGAGCAGCTACTTTGCGAGTGGTGGGACGCGCTCGTTTAATGAGGGTGGATGTTCTTCAGGAAGGAAACAAACACACAGACACAATGAATCGTCGAGTCCCAGGAAAATATTGGAAAATATTTTAAGCTGGGGGGAAAACAGAAACCCAGAAAATATGGAACAAATATCGAGATTCCTGTTAATTGTGAATATTTATTTGTGTGTTTGTGGGCCCCTTCCGTCCTGCTCTCCGAGGTCTCTGCTCGCTTCTGCCCTCCCGCGTGGCTCCGCTGGCCAGCCTCGGGCCGCGCGCCGCGGCCGCGCCGCCGGCACGCTGCGCCCTGGAGCGGGGCTCGCCGCGGGGCCCCGCGGGAGCTCGTCCGCGGGGAGCAGGCGGCGCGGCGGGGCCTCGCAGGCCGGCAGGGCCGTGCGAGCCCGAGGCCAACGGCACCGCCACGGGCACTCACTACCGGGAGCGTTGCAAGCACGAAGGGGTAATTTACTAACGGGTAATTTACTTACGAACGGGTGCCTGCTAACGGGTACTTGTTGACGGGTGCTTGCTGACGGTGCTGAAGGTCAGCGGCACCGTAACGGTATTTTGTGCAATTCTGCCTAGAGTTGCCACTCTCGGGCCTCTCTGGCGATGCGGCGTTGCCCACATCGGGGAGGGCTGGGTTCGCTGGGCCACTGGCCAAAGTGCCCGCTAGGGGAGTCCCCGCTGCGCGAAGTCATTCGCGCTTCGCGCAGCGCGAAGCGCAAAGTTGGGAGCCCTTGGATTCCGCTCCGATTCGGCTCGGGGTTCCCCGATTGGGGCTCCGATGCCTCAGCGGAGGCCCACTGTAGCCTGCGGGTGTCTGCCGATTCGACTTTTCCCGACCCGGCTGGCGATTTCCGCGGATCCGAGTCATTTCGGTCGCAGATACGACTTGTCGATTCGATTCTGGGCTCTCCTGCCCAACCAGTAGTGCGCCATCTCTGGGGCCCAGACCCCCTTCGCGCTATGACAAGAATCACAGCTGGAGGTTGTTCGACCATGTCCATGTTTGGGGTATCTGTTTGACCATGTCCAAGGCTTCGCCCAAAAATTCGCCTCTAGGGGGACATGCCCGACCTAAAACGCGAGTGGCATGTGGTCATGGCACTGCCAGGCGGAGCGTTCAGGAAGGAGCGAAGGGACACGTTTGTGGCCACGGCGGGCTTTGTTTACGAAGAGATGCCCCGACCCGACTAGACCTAAGGATTGGCCCAACAACATCTGAAAAAGGTGCTGTTCAGACTCTGGGGCGCCCCCAGACTCTGGGGGTCGGGGGTTGCTCCGACTTTGTCTCTCGTTGTCCGACTGTGTCTCCTCGCTCATACTCCCTGCCTCCCTCTCCCGGTTCTCCTCCCTGTCTCTCTTCCTACTCCCTCCTCGCCTGCTTTTCCCAGTCCTTTCCTTCCTCTTCCTCCTCTTCCTCCTCCTCCTCCTCCTCCTCCTCCTCCTCCTCCTCCTCCTCAACCTCCTCCTCCTCCGCCTCCTCCTCCTCCCCGCCCCCAGTGCGCCCAGTCGGCCTCTGGAGGGGCCCAGGTTACCTGGGCCCCTCCTGAGTCCGAAGTGGTCCTTCTGTCAGTACCTCGGCTATAAGCATAAGCTCCCAGCGGTCGGCGCGGAGCTCCCGACTCCTTTGTTTTGGTGTGTCGGAGGGCACCAGGCCTCTCCGCCCCTCCTTTCCCTCGTGGGGGGGGATTGGGAGGGCTGCAACGCAGCCGGCCCTTCTGCAGTTCTACGGGTTCCCGAAGCAGGGTTCCACCCCCGCTCCCTTGGAGTCGCCTTCTCTACGCCTTCCTGCTCCGACCCGGGAGTTCCCCCTCGCTGGCCACGAGCGGACGGGGTTCATCCTAAGGACGACTCTCCCTCGCTGCTGGAAGAGCAGCAGGTTGGGCCCCGGGAGCGAGAGGTGGATCAGGCATCGTCTGGACAGTAACAGGAGCAACGGGAGGAAATGCAACGGCGGCAGCCCGAGCGACAGCGGCAGAAGCAGGAATCCATCTCCCAAACGACTAGCACCGCTCCGACCCAGTGGAAGATGCATGGAGGTAGGGCGGCGTGGACACTTGGGCCCTTCTGGGCATCGTTTCCACTCCGCTGCCCCTCCACCTCCCTCGGCTACGGCGGCGGCGGCGGCGGCGGCGACGACGACGACTCGGCGGCGACGAGGAAGACGGGACGGCGTCGCCGCCGCCGCCGCCCTCCTCCTCCGCCGCCGCCGCCGCCGCCGCAGGCCTGCCGACGGTGGCGACTCCTATCGCCGCCGCCGCCGCACCCCGGAGCGCCCCTCGGCAGGCGCGAAGCCCTACGAGGACCTGGCGGACCGCCTTGCCCGGAAGTCGGAGATGGGCGGGGGCAAGGCTCGCCCTCCGAGCTGCCCCACGGCCGCGGCGCGCGCGGTAGGCCCCATCGAGACGCTCCGCGCGCCGCGAGCGGCGATGCCAGCGACGCCGACGCCGATGACGGCGGCGACGCCGACCACGACGCCGGCGGCGATGACGTCCGCCTCGGGTATGTTCTGCGACGCCGAGGACGGCGACGCCGGCGACGGCGACGGTCAGAGGAGAGGGAGGTACCAAGACCGATGCCGCTGCCCTGCCCTCTTTGGGTCCTTTGTGGGCCTCCCGGGATGCCCTCGTCGCCACGGCCAGACTCTCGACATCCGGGTCAGAACGCACCCCAGGAGAGGTCCGGGGAGTGGTGGTGTCGATGCTTCGTTGTGTCCACAGACGGGCTGATCCTCGGCCCGTCGTCGACGACCTCCTGCGGTGCTCCTCCACTCGATCCTCCACCTTCACCCTGGTCCCTCGCAGGCAACCTGGCGGGCAGTGCACGTGTTGCATTCGCATCCAGCCCCAGTCTCTGGGGTATCCAGGCCATCGCAGTGTTGTGATGGACTGCCGTGACGATGCGTTCGTGTGCATGCGTCAGCCTTGTGGACGCTTCACCTCTGGTCGGGTCCTCGTCTTGCAAAGCTTTCGGCCGCATGCAAGCCTCTGGCTGAGTCTGACACGAGCGGTAATGGGAGGCTACTCGGCAAAGGATTGCATCCCAGTAAGGTTGCGGTAGCAGTCGACCCCCCATCGAAGGATCGTGGGACGTTGGTGTCAACCAAATTCGAACCTCCCCTCCCCTCCCTTTCCCTCTCTCCCCCTCGTTCTGACTGATACCCCATCCTGATCCTCCGCCGCTTCCACCTCCACAGATCTCTCAGTGATGTGCTCGCTCACCCCTTCACCCTCCACCATTTCCTTTCTCTCTTTTCCCTTCCCCTCGCTCCTCTCCTCGCCTCCCTCACCCTTCATCATCCTTCCTACCCCTCCTGGCAGTCGCCTCTTCCTGTTCCTCGCCCTCCTCCCTCTCCTCCGCCTGCCTCACCATCTTCTCCTCCGTGCCGGGAGCGAAGCACGCCACCCTCCTCGCCATGGGCGGCGCCACGCCCAGGCCCTTTCGAGGGCTGAAGCGGCTGGGGGGCGGGGGGGGTCCCCAACTGGGCCCTTGGAGTGGCGGGCGTTTCGTCTCCTCCTCGCCCTTTGTCCTCCTCCGTGGCACGCGGTGCTTCGCACAAGGTCCCAACAAAAACATCTCCTCCCCTTTGCCACCCTTCACCCTCCTCCTTCTCCTCCTCCTCCTCCTCCTCATCCTCCTCCTCCTCCTCCTCCTCCTCCTCCTCCTCCTCTCCCTTGCAGCTCCTCACATCCTCGTTGCCCTCCTCGTTTCCTCGCGTACCCATCCACCTTTCCTCACCCTCCCCCCATGCCCTCCCACCTCCTCGCCCGCCCCGCCCCATCTCCGTGCATCCGAGCGGACGTGCCTCCAGTGTCCCCTCACGGAGCGCCCTTCGACCGTCGCCCGGGCAACAGGCGGGCACAGCATGCACCAGCAGTCAGCTCCCACAGTGGCAGAGGGCCTGGTCTGGGACGGCTGCGGGGGCAGAGCAAGATTCCCTGTCCCTGGGGATCTGTTCCTGCCCCAGCTCCACATCTGATGGCCCGGGGCCCCGATAGCACGAGCCCGAAGGCCGAAGTCGAGGCGCAAGCGCCAGGTTTGAAGCAGCCACGTCGCCAGAGATCTGCTGGCCCACCGGGGTGGCGCTGGAAGCTTCGTCCAGCTCATCTTCCCCCCTCTCTCCTTGCAAAATGTTTCAGATAGCCCATGAACCAACATAGTATGAGGTTTTGAGGGAGGGAGAGGGAGCGAGGAGGCGGGGGATCATGAGGGAGGATGGATGGGAATTGGTATTGCCAAGCCGCATTTCGTGGCCACTTGTATCATGCCGGATGTTGTCCGATACGATGAGATTTGGAGTTGCTTGGGTTGACCGGCATCGATCCGATTCGTGGCTCGGATTGTTACACGTGGAGTGATGGTCAGTCTGATGTTACCCTGTTGGATCCCATGTTTTGGCGTTTTGCTCAACGCCACCAGCCCATCCCCAAAACATAGTCAACGGGCTTACACGCCATCCCGCCGACCCCCAGAAATGACACAAGCGGCTTCTGGTGTCTCATGTGGTCCTGGCCACTTCGCGCTGTTTCCTCTACGTCTGTGGGGGGGCCTCTTGGAGGCCTCGTAGGCGGCCTCGTGGGGAGTCTCTTAAGGGCTCCTTGGCTTTTGGGGTGCCATGTGTTTTTGGCACCTGGGCTCCTGGGCTCTCTTAAGGGCTCCTGGGCTTAAGGGCTCCTGGGCTTAAGGGCTCCTGGGCTCCTGGGCTTTTGGGATTTCTGTTGGGGCCTCTTGGGACATGTTGGGGGTCTTGGGTTCATCTTGTGGGGGGGAGTGAAGGGGCCCTGGGCCCCCGCGAGTTCCCCCTGTCGGACCCCCGTTGGGGCCCACTTGAGGGCCAGTTTGGCTGTTTTGGGGGCCTCTCGCGTCGTCATGGGGCCCCCTTGGGCAGCATCAATTCGCGCGCCGCGACGCGCGAAACCCGTCGAACCCCACCTCCGGAGGCTTCCGGAGGCCGCCGAGGGTTGGCAGGAGGTTGCTGCAGTTTTCCGCGGGCCGCCGCGGAGGCGCCCCAATTGTGAGGCCCATGGGGAGGCGGACGATGTCCTCCGAGGGGCTTCCGCTTGGACCGGATGGGCGCGGGGGACGCTGAAGGGATGTACGGGTGTTCGCAGGGGATGCCAAGCTGGGTGATAGGTGGCCCAGCCTTAGTGGGCCCTGGAAACGACAGGGCCGTTTTTTTTACCGGTTCCGTTCTGCCGTTTTTTTGCCGGTTCCGACGCCGTTTTTTACCGTTTCCGTCGCCGTTGTTTGACCGGTTCCGGCTCCGGTTCCTATCCTTTCCGGTCCTTTTCAAGTAACCGTTTCTTGCCGTTTCCGGTCGCCGTTTTCTTGCCGTTTTCTTTTTCAAGTAACATTTTTTGGAAACGGTAAAAAAACGGCCCTGCCGTTTCCAGGGCCCACAAAGGCCCAACCTTTCTTATAAGTGGATTGCAGCAAGCCCCAAGTGGCGTAGGGGTGTTCACGGTGCGGGCTGAGTGCGGTCTGAGTGGACTCGGATCACTTAGCGGATCTATCTAACCCACCTAAGCCACTTGCGGCATGTGTAACCCACTTACAAGCGAGGTTAGGTCAGTCTGGATGATCCCAAAGTGGGTCCAGTAAAAAGGGGGTAGTGCAGTAGATTTTGTGCACTCGGTTTGTGTTGTTGCAATAGACTTGGGATGTGCAGTACATTACGGTGTGCAAATGTTATGCTGGATTTTCGAGTGCAATACATCAGTTGTAATACAAGGCAACCCAATTCTCTGTCGCAACACATTTGCAAGACAATTGCCCAATCTATTGCATCACCCCCTTTCAGCTGGGCCTCCTTTTGGGCCTCGAGGAACCAAAGATCACCCACCTTGGCATCAACTGATAATACCCGTATCCCCTCGGACCCACCCGCGCGCATCCTGGTGGAGGGCTTCTGGAGGGCCTTCGAAGTGCCCCCCAACAGGTCGTGGGCGAAAAGCACGTTCGCACATCCACGGCCTCGCGGGCCGGGCCCCTGGTCCGCGGGTGCGTGCGGCCGCGCTTCCTGTGGATCGCGCCCTGGAATCCATGCCGCAAGGGCGTGGATGTGGCCATGGCGCGCTGACGTGTCTGCGGCTCTGCAGAGGGGCCCCGGGCTGGCCGCCAAGGGGTCCGCGAGGGCCGCCCCCGGGGCCCTGTAGAGGGACTCTCCGCGACGGCGGCAACGAGCTGCGCGCGAGCGCACGGGCGCACCGCGCGCCGTGCCCGCGTGCGCCCGCGCTCGGCTGCGGTGCCCCCCACGCGCAGGAGGCGGCGGAGTCCAAGCCGTCGCTGAACTTCACGCCCTACGAGGTGCGCGCGGCGCTCGGTTCAAGTCGGGCGCGTCCTCTACAGGACGGAATATGCCGAAATAGTGAACAGAAATTGTGGGGAGGATTTGGTGAATATGCTTTGATTATGTTCGGGCATTTGTTTGACTATTTCCTTAGTGCTCGTCCAAACTCCCCCTGTAGGGGGACATGCCCGACCCAACTCTCGGTCTGGGGATTTCGGAGGAGAAAACTGAGATTCAGAAATAGTTCAAACATAGTCTGGGGACGATTGGTTGTTTTGTTTTGCCATTTTTTTGTGAGCATGCTTGGTGTATTAAGAAATTGTCGTCCAAAATCCGCGTGTAGGGGGGCACGCCCGACCTAAGACAGAAATCGGCGTCCCGGTTTGTCGGAGGCGTGCGATTTCGCGCCGCTTCGGGCCCTTAGAGACCCTCACAGATCGATCTGGCTCGAAAAGAGGCGCATCAAGGTGGGGTCTGAGGCTTTGGTTGTGATGTTTCGCTCTAAGTTTCTGGCCGCCAGATCTCGGAGATTCTCGATTTATCCTCACCTGATTTTATCCGCGTCTTCGCTTCGTCTTAAGCAGATATCGATACCGCTGCCCTCGCCGCTGCTGGAGTTCATTCGGAATTTTGGTCAGAGCACGCCCTAGAAGAGGGGCACTGGCGACGGCGGTGTCGATATCTTCTTTGGCTCCTCAATGGTCGGGGCTCTCAGGGGTCTTCACGCGGGTGGCCCCTCCCCAGAGTGATCTTTGAGGCGCGGCCTTCGGCAGGGTCCCGGGGGAGGGGGGGGGCGGGCCATGGAGAGTATGCCCCCCTACCCTCCCCCACCCATAACCTAACGCTTCCCCCCTCAGTGCGTCCCGGGCACTGCCGAAGTTGTTGTTCCCTTCCCCCTCCCCCCCTGTGCACGCCGCCAACCAAATCTCCGCTCAGCACGACCGACATGGGAACGGAAATAGTGTGCACGAAATCGGACAGCACTTACTGTCCATTTTGAGGAGAATTCACTGTCGGCGTCGCCGCGGGCGTTCTCCATCTGGGACAAGAGTTCGCCTGTCCAACATCGGCCGCTGCCGGTTCTGGATACACTCGCAGTTGGGCATTGGACCCGTGGTTTCTGTATCCATATCGGGCGTGCCAAGCCGTTGTTTCTTGGCTGCGGATGTTGCCTGACTGCGTTGAAGCCTTTCGAGTCACAGCAGCTTCCGCTCGTCTTGCACTGGGTACTATCAGTCAACAACGTCCAGTAGCGTCCCATAGCGCGCGCACCGCGCCCCCCGGCACCCAAAGGCGCTCAATATTGCCCAACTGCGAGCAGTAGCGTCGAACAGCGCCCAATGGCGCCATATGGGGGAGATGCATCCCTCCGCTTTCCGCGCTAGTTGGCGCGCTATTGGGCGCCGTGGGGACAAGCAACAGCTTCCATGACTTACTTTCTTAGAGACTTCTGCGAGCGCTGTCGGACGGTTTCGCGCCGCGATTGTGATACCGTCGGGCACAACGAGACGCCATGGAAGGCAGGATGGCAGCGGCACGCGGACTTGCATTCGCTACTCGAAGAAGCAGCATCGTATACACATGATCATTTGAAG